CTTTCAATATAGGCTTGAACTTTTTCTGGCATAGAAGCAGCCTGGAAGACAGTATGAGGAAGGATCTTTTTTTTGGTGTGCATTCCTTCTATACAAAGTACCTCTTGTGCTATTCTGAACTTCCTTGAAGGAGGAAATTCCCACTGCCCAAACCTAATCACCAAGTTGAGGTGCTTTCAGCCTGGAGAGTAGGCAAGCACCCGAGTTAGGCACCTCTCTGATGAATGGACCATTCTACCTGTAGTCATTCAAAGTACTTCTGTATTTCATAATCTGCTTCATGCAGCTGTTGTCACATGCTAGTGAGCATTATATATGCATTAGAGCATTCTTGGAGAAGAAAAGGAACACATCGACATTCACAACCACTAGAAACCACAGTCCAACATCATACAGTGGTTCCCTTTCCAAATCCCAGAACACAAATACAGGTGCAGTGTATAAAACCACATTTTCAGGATCTAGGATCTCTTGATGATTTATTCCCAGCTTCACAAATGACTGCGTTTTTTAAAATGACACTAGAAATACTCAATTTCCCACCCTGTTTGTGATTTAACCAATTCATCTGCTTCTAGACCAATAGATAAATGGGTTGTAACACACTCAGACTAACACTAATTCAGAATTAAACACTGGCCATCCTATGGCTCTACCAGAGAACTTTCACATGCATTTTGTAAGAGGAAGAGGACACACCTATTCTGGCAATTAGAAAAGCATGCAGGGATTTACATGCCTGAGTGCATCAGATAAAGAACCCCTTCAGGAGTAGGAAAATAAATGAGGCATGATCAAACTATGCATAGTTTTAACAGCGTTCAAGGAATATACAAACTAATAACCAACACGATGTTTGATTGTTCTTGTATCAATTCTCAGTAGTTCCTTAATCCTTACCCTACTCAGGAAGAAATTTTGGATTCTTTAAGGATTTTTGAAAGAGGAAAGGATCAAATTGGTTTTCAATTTAGAAAAAAAAAGAAAACTCAAACACTTCCAAATTAATTTAGAAAATGGAACACTTTACATGGATGCCATCTGCATGTCCTTCTGCTGACAGAGGTGTATCTTCCTGGGCATGGCAGCAACATGCTCAAGAAGGTAGAGGACTCTTATGACTCAAATTCATAGAATACAGAGATTTTGTATCTTCCATATTCAGTTCTGGTGGATTACAACTTTAAGAGCATTTTTGTCTCCCAAACAATGTAGTGGAGTATGAGAAGGGTGAAAAGTATAATTAATACCAAGTAGGATATGTAAAAATGCAACTTCCCTGTGCCAGAGAAGCAATGAGTTTCTACCTGGTCCCTTTTGGGCTAAGCTGTTTGATCAGCTTCCCTCAGTCTCTGTGGATGTCCTTATACTAGTCTAATTGAAGGACCCCTGTTCTCTTTTTATTTTTGCTCTATGAAAAATGTATTGGAGATGTCTTATAATGAACTTTGATATGGTGAAATGATAATAATGTCCTAATTATATATAAAAATGTAATTACACTTGCTACTATTATAGAAAAACTCCCTTTATAATGAAGTGTTATGTTAGAAAAAAAGATTTCATTATAGGCGGATTCCTTTACTTGTTAATTTGGCCTGTGATTCATCGCTTTAATATTAAAAAAAATTTCACTCTAAGTTACTTTTGATGTTTCTCATTTATGGTTCATTTCTCTGCTCTGGCACCTTAAGATGCCAAAAATTACAAACTTATTTAAGATATACTTAAAAATGCACTTGTTCTTTAAAAGGAAGATGTGAAAAAAAGGAGTAAGAGTCCTTTTTCTGGTAAAAATATTTTATAATGGAACATGGAACCAGGTTAAATACCATGACACTGTTCTCTCTGACCAATTGCCTTTGCTGTTAAAACTTTTTTTCCTCAACTTATTATTAAAGAAAGGTAGAACCAAATACCTAAAATTGCTAACGAAATGAAGAATAAAATTAAAAATAAACCATTTAGAAAGAACAGTTCAATAAAAGAAGAATCCAGGCACTTCTTAAAGTTGCAATAAAGTGAGTCTTGAGCAAAATCTGAAGAAAGGAAAAGGAAAATATGAGCAAAATGTGATCTAAGGTCTAACATATCAAAACTGATATGAGTTCAGAATAAGAATATTTTCCCTCTTGTACCATAAAAAAAGTACTTCAGGTGTTTTTACGAGCCAGCAAGTTTTCTTCTGCATTATAAGGTGGTTTGCAACTAATACCCTGATTAAAAGCCAGAGAGAGAAGGTGATGGTAAGGAAGTGATTCGCTAATTATTGAAAAAGATAACTAATTTTCTGAAACAGGAAATAGCATTTCCCAACCCAAAACATAACATGGGTATGAGGTGATAGACTATCTAACCAACTCTACTAAACTATATACTCACTGTAAAGAGACATCTTCTAAGATTTTTATAAGTTGAAATAAAATAGGATTTGTAATAAAGCATACACTCCAGCTTATATCATCTTTGCAAGTACAGAGCTTCAGTTTCCTTTTGCATGGAGGTCTCTTGCCCCTGTCCATTCACTGTTTCCTCCTATTTCTTGTGTTCACGTGGCCTCATTAAAAGAGGATTTTCCCCACTAGCCAGCAGCTTTCCGGGCTCCAGCCCTTGCTGGAGTGAGCAACGGATCTGCCTTGTTACAGTGCATTATAGAAGTACACAAAGTGTGAGGAAGAGGTCCATGCACCTGAAAGTTTCTCTGTATTGGAAACCTAATGGAAGATACTACGTTTTCTGGCAAGCCTTGCCTTATTTCTGTCTTTAGACCATCACAGCTGTAACACCACTGATGACAATATTTACCTATGGATAAAGCTAATGTATTCTGTATGATGCTTACACTGCATCACGCTCCTCACTTTTGCTCCCTTGACAGATGCTTGTGTGGAAATAGCTTTGCTCTCTCTATAGTTCACATCCATATATATGCTTGCAAGCCTGCATATAATGATAGGAGGACTCTGAAGGTCCATCTCTTTGTGGGTTCAGTAGTGTCTTGCATGTTTTCCTAATTTTACAGTCTTGCAAACCTGTACAAGGCAAGACCATCAGTCCTGTGAAGGTTCTCACAGAGAGCACCTAGGTACTGAGCATTTTGGTCCACATAACTATCCTTGCTTCATTTTGCTTATTTGAATAGAAAGAGATCCAGAAGCACTTACTGTTTAACAAATATGGAGAAAAAAAAAAAGGTGAATTTGAACATAACTATTCTAACATAATTGAGACCACATCTGTCCATCTACATGGTTTTATCTGCATTGGTTAGGAATTCTGGATTCAGTACCATCTCTCAATTCAGCTGCTACCGAATATATTCATTCCTAATTGCATTCTGTAGCACTATTCTCTCTTCAGAGGGAAAAATAAAAAATCAGTGGAGATGTGAGGAAGGGCAGAATAGAGACGTTTAAAATGGAGTGACAGATGTAGTCTGCAACAGAGCAGCAAGTGTCGCCAGAGGAGATGCAATCTCATGCACTATCACAATGCAGAATTCCCCCAATTTTTTTCTCCTTTGTCAAAGAAGCACTCACATGAATAACTGCACATGAAGCAAAATTGGTTTTATAGAGAAAAACTAGTTACAATTTTAATCACAGAAGAAGTCTGAATTAATAAAAAGGCATACTTTATTCTGTTCTCTTTCAGCACAGTGAAGAGTATGTTGGGATTCTTCTGATGTTTTGATGGAGATTTTTGGAGTGTTATTTCTGATCATATTAAAGTTTTCTGCCTGGTTAGAAACACAGGGAAACATATTAAGAAATGCCTATTTCAGCCTTAATTATGTCCCTGCTACTCCTGGCTGCTCAACTTCTGATTCCAAACAGCTATCCAGTGGTGGGGGGAGTCCTCTCTGCCAGCTGTGCTTACTCCCAAACCCTTGCAGCATCTACCTCAACATATTTGCCTGGTTGCTGCACTGATGGGGCCCTGGCAGGTCTAGTAGGCCAATGGCTCCAGATCTTAGTAGGCATTTAAAAACTCATTTACTGATAGTACTTCTGGCATTCAGAGATGCTCACGTTGACGTACAAGTGAAGTATTCTTTCTGTTAGCAAAGCCTCACATAGCAGAGAAATCACAGTGGTTTTTGACAGAAAGCACACCTTTGAAGGCTTTAAGATCCTTGCAGCCTTTAAAAATTTCATTCTAAGCTAGCCAGTTGCAAGATATTTCAAAAGCTTAAGCTTCCCATGATCAAAGGCACTCTTGAATAACGCTATTATCTTCTCCTCCTTAAATCCTGTCTACTTGGCAGTGTTGGTGAGCAATTCGGCAATTTATTGCTTCTACTAGTGAAGCATTTTGAAACAAGCAAACCGCATGCATATAACTCCTTAACAGTGTCACATATTCTGTTGATATCTCAGGATCTGACAACATGTAGCAATATTTTGAGAAAACCAGACTGCTGCTTATTCCACCATTTAATTTAGAAAGCAGAAAAGTGATCAATGTTTAGTAATACCATTGTAGGCAAGACAAACATGTAGTTGCCAATTTGTAGTCATATGCTTTGAAAGCAACATCTATTTGAAAATAGAATTGGGGACCAAATTTTAAGTCTCTGACTTAAAAACTTCTTACCCAGCTTTGCTTGCTGTCTTGTCTGCAAAGGCAGGGTGCATTCAGAGAGCTATTTGCAGGTGCCACTTATCTTCTCCTTAGTGTACACAAGCACAGGTTTTGCATTGTAGAAACCAGATGCCCATTCACATTGCTCACATACCCAGTTTTGCCAAGAATGAATGCTGCTAGTGATAAGTTTGCAGTAAACCATACAGGTCCTCACCTATGTTTTATCTAGACTACATTTATTAGCATAAAGTAAAAACATGCAGTGGGACAACTCAACTGTACGATTTATGCCAATATATATTCTCCCATCTCAGTAAGGCTGGTCCAAGGCTGTAATCATTAGATGGTTTTAGTTCAGAGTTTCCTTTGGGGGACACTTCTCTGTCAGAATAGCTCAGACAGGCAATCTTTTTCTCAGCCTCCCACACTTTTATTTGTTATAAACTATTTTATCTCTCTTTTTGCATAACACAGCTGAATATGACTAAATGTGCAATTTGTCCACGGATCTTACGTGATTATTCATCCTTGCCATTATAACAAACACAATTTCTTGCCAGGAGGGGAGAAAGAGGTTGGGACAAACAATAGGTGAACTGCTGGGCTGTAATTCCTATCTGTTGGCTCCAGTTTGAGGAACAACGAGAAGAGGAAGGCAAGAGCTGTTCCCACCAAGAAAATGAGCTGCTGGGAAAGCCACCAACGAGATTCAGCTTGCTTTCTTACGCAGGTCTGTGACCTACCACTACCTGTTTATATTGTGTTGCAATCTAAGCCGTGACCTTGGCTTTTAATTTGTTGGTTTCCTTAAATATAAAATAATCTTAAAACTGTGAAAAATAAGCACCTGTGACCACCACCAAATGTATTCTGCATGCAAAATAAACAGCCAAATACATAAACATAAGCATTATCATCTGCGAGTATCTAGAAGCTTTACAGCTACCTGTGTAATACAAATAACAACACTGTTTCTGTTTTTACATATATCTGTTCATTAGAAGTTTTGATGATTTTTATCTTTATCTTACCTGAAGTCATATTGGGAAACACGAACCATTTTTGGAAGTACCAGCAACCTCCGCTAGCAAAATGGAGAAAGAAACATCTAGGACACTCCGGCAGGCCAATGCTCTGCCATTTCAAGTTTATCCCAGAACTAATTTGTATGAAAGTGCAATATGAGATATGTGTGTTCCTTAACAGTTTGGAAAGCATATGAAAGGACAACTTCAGGTGAGATAAGCATCCTAGTTCAGCCACTAAAGCTCACTCTTTATTTACCAGGACAGGCTGCTGCTTACACTACTACAGGTACGATCGTGTTCACACTCAAACTCCTCACTATGGTTTTGTGCATATAGCAAAATGACTCGCTGGAGGGAAAGACTGCATAATCAAGGATCATCGACCTCTTCACTTTTACTCACCAAACAACATTAAACACTGGGCCCAAACCTGTTGTGGCCAACAATTTAAAAGCTATAAGGAAATGCTAATGGACTATCTTCTACCAATCAGGATAAAGAGATTTCTAAGCTGCAGAAGAAGTAATACTCTAGCAATAAAGTCTGACCAGACAACTGATCTATCACAAAACAGGGTTTTGCCTAGGCAAAAAAAAAATACTTCAGGAAAAGCTCACATTGCTTCTACCTTGCATAGAAAGAGCAGCAATTCTGTGTAGAAGCAACAATTGCATTTTGGGGGAAGCAGAAAGGGAAATATTTGCCTCAGTGTTGCAATGACAGCTGCAGTATATGACAGTAAGGACAATGGAGAAGCACGGCTCACACTGATGTCTTCATTGAGGGAGAAATGCTGAGCGAGTCAGGGAAACAACGCAGGCCAAGCAGTGCGGTAACTGTCAAAGCGCTGGAGATGAGTATTCGCCAGCAGTGACTGGGTCAGAGGTGCTGAAGACACCGGTCTGCTCACCATCTCGAAATGGGCTGGGGACAACCAAGCCTTGCCACAACCTCTAGATGTTTTGGCAAATTTACTTTTGCAGAGATGACATCTCTTATCTCCCCATATCATTTATGATGCATGGACATTATCACAGTTATTTCTGCAATAGCTGCCGCTGAGAAGCAGAGAAAAGAATCTAAAAGAATGATACAAATAGAAGTAAACTACTACAGCCACAATATAAAATAGTGTCCCAGGCAAAGGAAAGAGAAAAGCATTAAAGTCTACTTTCCTAGACAGCTGTCAGTTTTACTTGAAATAAACCCCACATATTCCCATCCTACAAAGAAATTAGAAGATATTTTCTATCCTACTGACCTTCTCAAGAAAAAACAAACAATACCTGGGAAAAGACTACAGTTTGCAGTTTTAAATTCCTGGGGTTTCTTTACAGAGTGATTTCAGGCACATCACTTCCAGCTGGTCCAGTAAGGCCCAGACACCACTGAATGAACAGTATAGATTGCTAAGATGTTCTAACACAAATGAAAGAAAAAAGCATAAAGTTTGTGGAGGTGTGGGGGCAACTTCAAGAAGCTCAGTAAGGGAGCCCAGGCCATTTTCTAAGTCCTGACAAATCCAAGTGCTATCAATGCATAGAGACGACCAAAAACTTGGAAGGCTGTAAGCAGACACTCAACAGTGCAGCAGAGAAAGTCTCACACACCCATGGCTCTTTAAAATAATGCTTTGTCCCCAGTACTGGAAAGTCATAAGACACTTTCACTCATGGTGATGTGGAGGAAGCACTTTCTTCATAGCAACACTAACGAATTTGCTGTAATTTTAAGTTTCTCAGTATAGGTAACCACTTGCCTTATGAACAGTCTACTCAATTCGATTTGGAATTATTAAGACTGTTCGCAGAGTGAAATCTAGTCAGCTTGATTAAGTTCAGCAAAATACCCTGTGAACTTTGCAAAAAAGTCAGGTACCTGAGTCATAACAGTTTGACAGTTGAGAAAATCATGCAAACAAGAAACATTTCATACTAGGATATTACTTTATCACTCCAAAATAAATGAAAAATTATGTATTTGAGGAAGAAAAATATCTTAAATCAAAAAATGGGGAATGAATGGGAAGGTTCTGTTAAGGTTGCATCTTGAAAGACAAGCAACAGCCACAATCTTACCAGGATATCTACTACTAATACAGGAGCTCCTGCGTTTCATCATAAAGCTGCAGTTTTCAAGTAGGGCAAACTGCTGCTGTTGACAGTAAGCCAGGAAGGCAAAAAAGTCTACACAGAAGCTTTGCTAACTTTTGACGGGTTATTAGTTGTCAATGGGTTATTAAATTTCAATTATTTCAACTGCAGAGTATTCATTTACAAATGCTGATTTAACATCATGGTGAAGGCAGGAACTGGGGAACAGAGGAGTTACACCGGTAATAAACTGGAATGTCAATTATTTTTAGCCAGAAAAATGTCATAAAAGACAGGCATTCTGTCCCAGGAACTGTTCAAACTGCAGACTGAGTCACTACACAGTAATGTGTAGCAAACAGCAATATTTAGCTAAAGCACTGATCCTGACATTTTTAAAAGTCTCTTGATTTTGTGTACCGCCGCCAACTTCTTATTCAGAATTACGGCAGCTTGAGTCCTAGTCTTTGGGGAATATCTGCAAGACATTTCAGTGTCTGATTCTTCAAGTAGCTCATTAGGGTGATGAAAAGCCACATGATGAAGGGGCAGTGCCACGCTTGAAGAGCTAGGGGTTCCTGTTGTCTTGAATTATTAACAAGTCAATATTTAGTGGACTGTTCCTGCCTGCCTGCTTACAGCAGGTGGTACCCCACTGCCTTTCGCTTGGAAAGCATCTGCTTGCTCTGAGCCTCCCCAGAGCTTGCTACAGTCATTTGTTCGATTTAAGACAGACACTGTCATTATTCTGTGCAGCACTTCACAGAAATATTTCCTACTAAATGCTTGAACCATCTGAGCAGCACTAGGCAGGCTGCAGGCTTCATTAATAATGCATCCCTGCTTATCAATAGATTTAGACAACTGGTATTTAGAAGCTTCTTCAGAAGGAGCGGGGGTTTTTTTTCACACCAGTTAGCTTCGTTCTGTCAGTTCCTTGATGTAGACATTACATCCAACTGAGTTCTGAAAGGCAGAGGTGCTAAAATTGTATTTGAGCTGCTCCCTTGATTTGGAGCACCATTTGACTGATGTAATTCTTAAGATCAACCCCTCTGTTGCATTATTCTTTGCTGGTTTCAGGGTTTGGGGGGAGGGCTGGAGGCAGGGTTACATTTACATTAAACCAGAAATTTGCCTTTATCTTACCTAAAATACATGGAAGCACTGGCTTTGCATTCTCAACAAATTCAGCTTCCACTACGTCTCTGGACTCAGCTCACAAATGAGGGAAAAAGATTCATTATTAGTTACCTTGTGATTTGCAGAGGAGTGGCAACCACTTTTGGCAAAGCATTTAGGATGCTAAAAACAGAGTAAAAAAAAAATCAAACTGCTGCCCAGATCAAACAGCAGTGTGGGCAAAGTAACTATTTGCCCAATTTAATACAGGGAAAGGGAAAATAAATACATAATTCCATTTTGGAAAAAAAAAAAAAAAAGAAGTAGGAGAAATAATAAAAAAAAAAAAAGTCTTGACTAGCTGTGTGATTATAGAGAAGACACTCTTGGATCTGTTTTGGTTCTGCTAGTAAGCCTTCTTTCTGGATCAGGTTTCCCCTCCATCACCCCCCCTTGGTGAATCCCACATCCTTCAGATGGATTTCTGCAGTGCAGTTTTCTTGTTTGCTGAGCTGGTTCTATTTGATAGCCACAAACCACTTGGTTGTTTTGGGGTTTGGTTGTTTTTTTTTTTTTTGTTTGGTTGTTTTTTGGTTTGATTTGGTTGGTTGGTTGGTTTTTTATGAAGCACTCAAACAAAGGGTTAGAAAAACCTAACATGTACAGATCTTACCTGTCATCTTTACTAAAAGTTTACAGAAATCTCTTTAAGACCTGTTACCTCCATCCCTGCACGAGGAGAAGCCACTGCTTGCTGCAGCTTCTGCCTATTCAACTCTAGAGATACCCATCTCTAGCTGATGTGAACAATCCACTCAGCAATTTTGGTACACCCGGAATCCTTCAGTGATTTTGTATCCCCTTTGTCTCTGGCTTGCAAAAAAAAAAGCTGCTCTACACAATTTTCCTTCTTTCTTCCTTTCTTTCATTTGCTTGACATAATTCCTTGATTCTTCATGATAGGAAATTGTCTAAACTTTTTTCCTTTCAACTACAGGAATGAATTAAATGAGAGAGAATTTAGCAGAAAGTATGGAAATATTAATGTACAATATCAATGGACAAAGCTTGCTGTCACCACCAATTGCAGGTTGCTTTTACTATAGAATGGTTTCAATGTGGAATTGCTAGTTGCTAATGGAATAATTACATATAACTTTTTTTTTCCCTGGGCCAGTAAAATTCACTGTGCATGCATAGATTAATCACATATGCACATTAGATTTAATACCTCTTGGATCTATCAGAGATACTGTGTACATCAAGCAAAACTCCATGTGAGCAGCTATCCAAGCTGCTGTCCAAGGCACAGTTCATTTAAATGCCCTGGGTGCTGGCAAATTAAGGGCCCAGTCCTGTAACCATCAGTTTGAGAAATACTCAACCAGCACCAGAATAATTGGATGCTGTTTGTACATTGTACTTTGTGAATAACAAACACTTATTAAAATGTTGACACTGGCACATGACTGGGGACTGCTGTACATGGTCTCAGCATTTGCTGAAGTTAATGGGAAGCTAAAGTTTGTCCAAAACGGGCAGAATTTGGCTGTAATGAATAGGATGACATTCACACTATAAACAAGGGAAGCTGAGCTGTAGCTGCAGCTGCTGCTGTGCTTACAACAGAAGTGCCCCTTTCAAATATCTGTCAAGAATTGAACATAAAACCCAGTTCTGAGATGCTCCAAGGACAGAATTCTGATATGGGGAATAAAGTCAGTTTAAAAAAAAAAAAAAAAAAAAATTCTGTTCTAATGTTTTTATGCAAATACGTGAGAAATTAAAATATTTTAATCACAACTCTTCTAACTCCTTTGAATTACACAATGGACGAAGCTTTTCATAATGACACTTATTACAGGTGATTGAATACCCACGCTGAAAGGAACCCTTTGGAAGGAGCTTGCATCCTAGCCCTGTCCACCGCAACTAGGTCACACATGATTTCTCCAAAGATGTAAGAGCATATTTCAGAAGGATGACTTCTGGATCAAAAGGCAGTTCAATCTCTTTGCCTCTTAATTCCTCAGTCTAGCTAAGAGGTGCCAGTGGTAACTAATTCTCAACTCTGTCCACCAGTAACTATGCTGTTGTCAAAATCTTGTTTATTTAATTAAGAATGATTACTTAAGCAGAGGTACTGTAAGGTACAGTGAGACAATGGATTAATTATGTGTTTTTTTTTTTTTTATTTTGAAGAAATACATTTCCTCATGCTATCATTATATCCCTCTAACAGGGTAAAATTCACCTGTCATGCAGAAAGTAAGCACAAGATCATCAGCCCTATCTATATCTTGATACATATCTTCACGTCCCCAGTGGACAGAGAAAATTCAGTAGACAATAGGCATGTGCAAAAGCAATGAAGGAGCAAAGAAGTTGCAAAAAAGCAAGCAACTGTGCATGGGCCTCTGTTTCTGCAGATTCAGTGCCTCTAAACTGTCAGGAAGAGCTCCTGAAGCTGAAGCAGTAGCCAGCTAGGAATAGTAGCACTGAGCTTCATACTTTGGCTTGGAGATGGAGAACACCACCTAAGTCAGCCTGTTCTTCATCAGGACAGCACAATTCCTCTGTCCCACCACAGAAAACTATTTCACCCTCAGGCTAGTCTGATTTTTCAACTGCCATCAAATCAGAATAAAAATTCTAATTTTTTACAGCCTCTTATTTTCTCGCTTCATGCACAGTTTGTTGTGAGATTTTCTGTTTGTTGTTTTTGTTTGTTGTTGTTTTTTTTTTTGTTTGTTGTTTTTTTTAAAAAAGCACTAAAATAAAACTGGTTTAATAATTTTGAAAGAGATTTTAAATGATACTCACTTTATCAAGGCTGATGAAAATGACAGTAATGTCAGAGGGTAACAGGTTGCTAATAAATACAATAGTTTAGGAAAGTGCTATTCTTGTCATGGAAAAATATATTCTGAGAAAAATAATACCGCTGTAATTCATTTTTGAAAGCTATAGAGACTTCTTGGATGTGGAATGCAGTTATTAAAGGCAAAAGTACACAATATGTTGTAATGAAATGGTTGTGCTACACACTTCATTAAACGTTTTGTGAGCCACCTGGGAAATTCCAGCTCTCCCCCCTCAGAAGGAAATGTTTTACGTGGTTGGGTCACTAGAGGGAGCACATAGAGCAAGACTGACAACCAAAAACACACTGCCTGGGCGAACCCAGCCTGCAAGCAAACCTGAACATGAGGAAAGATTAACCAAGGGGCTACCATAATTTGTATTTATTCTTCCAGTGCAAGACGTATGGTTACCGGATTCATTGAGGAAGACCTGAACACTTCCAGCTATCAAAAATAAGTTGTTAGAGCAATGCTGAAGTTCTTTCTGAGTGACAGAGTTGGGAAAAAGCTGACAGACTATGCATTGCACATGTTCATTGGAAGGAAACATACTTGTCATATGAGATGCTGAAAAGCTTAAAAATTCAGAGAGCACAGTAGGGAGTCTTCCATAAGGATTCAAAGAACTGATATGTTTTGGATGTGTTGACTGTTTGATTTACAATATTTAAAGGTAGAAAATCAAGGGGAAAAAAATCAGTCAAATTTTATCTGAACCTCAGAGGAATAGGAGCTAGGAAAGGGCTGAACTGCAAATGTACTGGAATATCTATGATATTTGCATGATCATTTCAAAAGCTCAACATCTGTGAAAGAAAAAAAAAAAAAGATAAACAAAACCCTAACTCTGTGCCTTAACATTATGAGCAGTAGAGCAGTATTGGTGAAGTAATATTGTTTACAAAGCACGTTTTACAGTTTTAACTTACTTTAATCCACTATTCCTTTTAGATGAGCAACAAAAGCTACATTACAGACAAAAGAACCAGTGCAAAAGAAACTGCACTTACAACACAGAAGCCAGTGAGCTGCTGAAGCACGGTGTCTTAAATGAATTCACAGTCAGTGCTGTAAACTTGAGGTATACACCCAGCAGAGTGTATTAGGCAAACACGAAGATACTGTTGCACAATATTATAGAAATAATACAAAATATAAATAGTGGAAACTTCTCTTTTTGCTCGTTGTTTATCAAAGCCTGCAGATTATTAACTTTACTGTTTTCCCTCAACTAGAATTACAATATGCTCATTTGGATACTGTAGCATAAAATAAAGATTGAAATTTTAAATGAATACTTTCATTGGCAAGGTTTTTATTAGTGTCTTAGAGAAATCGCAGTAACAGTTACGTCTGCCCACATCCGTAGCGTCCCACTCGGGAGGCCCCTGCGGCTGTGAATACCGCCCAGCCCCAGAAGGACCATCTGGCACACCCGGGCTTCACCTCCAGTTTTACATCGAGTCCAGTGAAAGTTTCAGCAAACACTGACTTTAGTTTGAATGGCTGTTGCTCCCCAGTCCTTGGTGGAAGGAACGGTACTATCGCACGCTGACACAGCACACTGAGTCTTAAACTTCTCTCCTTGAATCAGCAATTAGGAATTTCAGCAGTGAAATGCTATTAATGGTCAACAACCAAGGTCACCTGTCAGCCTCCCTCCTGCACCCCCTCACAGACGTGTCTGTGTACAAACAAGCAAGTGTAGGGGTGGGCACATGTTTCCACGTGCAGCAACCTCATCTCTGTGTGGAACTCTTGCTGGGTGATCCTGTAGGATTTTGTGGCAGGAGACAAACCCAAGTCCCAAACTGTCTGTAACCTGCCTGTCCCAGCAGCATTCATTTCTAGGACATTCATGACTTTGATGTTCCATGCATATTTTTCTTCCTTTAGGCACACTGTTAATCTCAGCCTATGAATGGGGGTTTTAATTGTTTACTGGGATTATTCCACTTGTATAGAGTTCGTTGGTTGAGCCATACCTGTTTGGGTAAGAGGCTATAACACAAGGCTATTCCTATCCTTACAGTAATAATTTTTTTCTGGTATGTACATACGTAATACAACTCTATCTCTTTCCATGTGTGCAGATATGCATACATGATACTGTTAAACAAGTCTGAAATATATTAAGATTGCCAAATCAATCACTCACAAATTGACAAAAATACTTAAAAAACAAACGTTGGTCTTAAGGTTATTCATACAACCTTCAGTTTCTCCATGAAGCACCAGTATAGTACAATCTTAAACATCATTATCACTTCTCTTTTTTTCTCCCTACAAAATCACTGCCTTATTCAACAAACATTTACATTCTAAATACTGTTCAGGGACTGGATCATTCCAAACCTTATTCTCACACACTCCACATTCCTGCACTGAGAATAAAATTATTGATTTCTGTGTCACCGGTTTCATCATTCCTTTCAGCAAGAATAAACATATTTTCACATACACAGCCTCCACCACCAGAAAAAATATTATTCCCTTTTTATAGATGGAGCACTAAAAGCCAGAGAGATTACATTTGAAATATCAAGTGACCACTAATTTCCTTAACAACACTGAGATTGAAATGAATTCTACAGAAGTAAACTCATCTTCATTGACTCTGAGAGCATTTACTTTTTTTTTTTTTTTTTTTTAAGTCCTGTAACCCTCCTGAATTTATTATGTACCTTCCAAATGGGACAGTAAAACAAGCACGAGTCCTGTAGACATGTGTGTCCTCTTATCTTGCCTTTTTCTGAGAGACTTTTCCTCTCTGCCCTGGCACTAAGTGTAATGCCACATACAAGTCCCATTTAGCCTAGCTCTCTAAATGGCAAGCCCAAGGGCTGATGTTAAGCTTTTTTAATTTACATTCTACTAGCAAAAAAACCAAACCAATCCAAACCACCTCAAAATAAGTCCCCTGATATTCTTGCAAAATGGCACAGATTTTGGCAGAAGGAGAAAGCATGAGGAAGTAGTGGGGCTAGAGCCCCTCTTTCAGCACTTCTCAGAAACAAGGAGCATGCTCCCAGGTGCATGAGGTGGGTTTTCCTGATCAGTTGCTTAAAGCCATCACGCATCCCTCTACTTAGCGTGTGCATGCTCTTTCAAAAAGACACTGGATGAGGATTTTTCCTCTTTGCTCAATGTTTATTTGCAAAGCTGAAGAGTTCTTCAGAGAACTGAAATAAATAGCAAAGTCTGGTTTAACATAGCTTTTGGCCATTCTTGTTTCAGTTCTGTATCTTTTAACCCCCAGGGCATAATTCTTCCTCCTAATCAATCCCCCTTTTGCATTCCTTATGGATTCTCATCTTACTTACATCTCACAGTTTGAGATGACTATCATTCCAGGGAGATCTCCATTCTACTAGTATCATCTTGCTTGCTGCTAAAACATTTTTGATTCAAAGTTATAATATGCCTCCTCCACGTTCAAATATGTAAGCTTCCCAGTACTCACTGAATATCTTCAGTTTTTCAGTTTGCCTTTCTAAGGCCCCAGAAGTACAGATTTATGTCTTCCTTTTCTCAGAAAGAGAATTAGACAAAATTGAATCTGCTCTAAGTTTAGTTTTTATGTCCAGCCCCTTTAGATCTTGCTGTTCAGTGAAACTAAGCATAACACATCATTATTTTTCAAGGGTTCACTGATTGTTTGGTAAAAAAAAAAAAAAAAAATCTACCTTCATTCACTTCCAAAACCATCTGAAACCTGACTTTATTGAAAGATGATTATGGAATAAAAGTTACAGTATTCAAATATCCAGCTTTTCAATGGACATTTTTTTGTGTCTTAGTCTGGGAAATTTGAAGTCTCCCATGATCACATAAATTCCACTATTACTTCCTGCCCCCCTCCCACCTCACAAAATGGATATCATTATCCAGTTCTGAACCTTGGATATTTCTCAACATCCCTCTTCCTGGTGGTCCTATTTTTTTATTTATTTCAATACTATCTCACTGCCTATGCATATATTTCTCACTTTCCTCATCAGTTTATACTTTTACATTCTTTAATCCAGAGTATTTCATGGCTACCATATTTCTAACACTACTACAGGATTTGGTTTTGTATCCAGTACTGGGAGTTTTCATTCCTTCATCCTATTTTTCAGGCTTCCAGCAGTAGGAAGAACAGCCAGTTCCAGTGATGCAGTCAGTGTACTCGATGTATCTTTTAATTTCCAATTGTTAAACATCACTTTTTTCTTCATTTCAGCTGCATGCAACTATGCCTCTTTCCCTTTTGCTGTCTGTATCAGACTTAAGTAGTTAAGAAGTTTCAGCAGCATTCTTCCTCAGCTTCCTAGTTTAGAGCTTGTTTTACCAGTCATGTCTGCCTTCAACCTAAGCAGCTCTTTCCTGTAAATTAACTGGAGTCCCTTCTTTGAGGAAAGAAACATAATTCCTAATATCACATTGGCCTTCATAAGAGCATCAGACCTGATTTGTCAAGATTCAGGTCAAAAAGCCTGAGTCTACCTCCTCCAAAGGCCAAGTCAGGTCCTCATAAGCTTCAAATGAACTAAACAATGAGGGTTGATTTTATGGGAACATCATATAATGTTTACAAACATTATAGTTTCTCACATGTGCAGCATAGGGGTTACACCTACCATAAGGGGAAACCCAAACAGTAATCCACCCCCAGTCCTTGCCACGGGCCTTCGTACTGCACGACTATGCTGCTCTACGTGCCTATTTTGCCACTACAGTCCCATGGGCCTCTGTCTACTACCGTTTCACTTAGGAAACTTTAAGATCGGAGAGGGCCAAAAGAAAGCAGCAAGGGCCCAGCAAGAATTTATTATTATTCTCAGTCTGTTCAGAATTTGAAGTGCCCTTACAGCAATTAAATGCAGTTAAGATAAGTATGCTGCCTGGTGGCACAGTACATTAAGAAGGTAAAATCTCAGCCAACATAGCATCAATCTCCTTGCTCCCACATCCATCCCTAACCTTCTGCTCTTCCCAGAAGAGAGATACTTCCCAGAAGTATCTTTTAATAGGACTAAGAATATAATATGAATTAATTTCACGCTCAAAGAGTTGAGGATTAAATCCAAATGTAAAAGGAAATAAATGTTGCTTCAAGCTAAGTAACAGTAACACACCTTTCCTTTTTAAATAAGGCAGCAAGATCCTACAGGACAAAGCCTGTTGCCGTATGAAATCCACGTTCTGAACTGCTCAGATAAGAAAATGTCTGCAGTTCCATGAAACCTTAAAGCTCTCTGTGGTATTTTAGTCATTACTGTTCTTGTCCTAAAAGCATTTGCCTTGACATCCCTTACTGCTGGTGCCACCGCGCACTCGCAGGCAATAGGGCACAGTCTGGGCCTTCTTACGCCGAGATGTGAAAAATCAATTGAATCCCCAGCAGATGGAATCACTGGTGCAGAAAGTGACTAAACACTAACAGCTATTCTGCGATACTGAAGTCTTGAAAGAGGATACTGCAAACATATACACTACAAGACAAAAAAGGGTGATTTAATTTACAGTAACTCTCTGCATAGTATTGTTATTTCGGGGCTCCATCCTACAGAGATGCTACTATTCACTGGTAAATAAAGAATTTCTCTCCAAATATTTTCTTTTCACTGATAACACACAGATCTGTGATACGATATGGTATGATACACACTGATATATGACATTATCACAACACGATAGCGAAACATACTGAATATTTTTATTCCCTTGCCATTATGCATTAAAAATAGACAAGACTGACAGCAGAGTCTTTACATACCGTGGCAGGAAATATGATTTTTATTTCTATTCCAAACTTGTGTGACTCTAGGTTCTATATGCTTATTTTACTAAATAATGTCTAATTATTATACCCTGCGCATAGTATCTTTAATATACAATTTAGTTCTGGGTATGAATAAATCCAGCCTGACCTCTCTTTCTTCCAATTTTTTAATTCCTTATTTTTTTTTGTCATTCTCCATATTTTCTGCTGATTTTATCAGCAGCTTCTCACCTCTCAAATTCTTTGTTTCTCTCTTTCACTTCACATATTGCCTTATATATCTGTGCTAGCATCCAGCTGAGCTGCAGGGAGGATTTTTTTAGTGTACTCTCTATTTGTGCCAGTCTTATTATAGCATACTCAGGATGATACATTACACTTGAAAGCTTCTAGTATAAATATAAAGAAGTTATATTATCTATTCCCAAAAGAATATTAATCAAAGCCTTTTAATTGTAATGATAATCATATACATATTTGGAAAAAAAACCCCATACCATTGTATGGTTGAGCATAGGAATAGATGTC